AAAATAATTATAAAATTAGTAAATTATATTATAAATAAAGTTACATATATTTTTTATTATTAAAGATTTTTATTAGTTATTTTAATTTTAAAAATAAAAGAATAACAATTTTAATATAGTAGTTGAGTTGTTATTTTTTAAATAGCAGGTCTAATATTCAAATTATACAGTCAGACCCCTCTATAATCACACCCTCCGGGATAAAGATTTGTGTGCTTATAAAAAGATTTTTATTAAGATGTGCTTATAAAGAGGTTTTTTTTAATACATTTATATATAATTGGTTTTTAAATAGATGTGCTTATAAAGAGGTTTTTTGTATGACGTTCTTATAACAAGTGTGACTATAGAGAGGTCTGACTGTATTTATAATAAAATTTGAAAATTAATCTGTATTATAATAACTGTTTTTTGTCAATCAGTTGGCTTTATATAGTTATAATCTAGGTAAACCAAATCAGATCCTATTTGTTATTAAAAGCTTAGAGCATTTATATAAAATATAATATTATATATATAGAGAGAAATATTTTAACCAGTGTTATATAAGACTTTGGTACAAATTTATAATAAGATCACTGAGCATAGAAGATTAAGAAACTGAAGATCCAAAAACCTACTTGAAAATTACTAAGTAAAAAGATAATATAAACTTTTAACAGTACTATTAAACTAATTAAAGTTTACAAATTATCTCTAAAAAAATGGATTAAATAAACTAAATGCAAAATATATATAGAGAAGCATATAATTAACCAGACTGCTAAATTTGTTAAAGAAAAAAAATACAAAAATATATCATATTGTATTATTTAAATTATAGTCTGACCAGAGTCTGTTAGTTCTAAATAGCAATTAGTAGAAGATAATGAAAAAGATGTTAAAAAGATAAATACTGAAGTTTTAATAAATTTTATAAAAATTGAAATAGTATAATATAATAGTTAAACAGATAACCTCTGCAATTGCAAGTATTAGATAACTATAACATATTGTATAAAACTAAGTCAGCTATGTATAAAATATAACAGGCTTTAGTAAGTCTTTTGTTAAGAATAAAGTAGCTCTAAAAGTACTGATAAGCATTGAAAACTTGGATAAACAGTGCTCTAAAAATGTTTTTGTAATACAAGAGAATTGCATATGCAGAAAGTTTAAATAGACAAAACTTATAGTTAGCTTGCAGATATAACATCTAGTATAGAATCTGTATAGTAATATATAAGCAAACTACTTAAATTAGATACCAAAAAAGTGCACATGTAGCTAGTTATAACCTTCAATATAAGGAAGCCTCTGAAGGCTCTTATGTTTTACAAAAACTTAAATAAAAATGTTATATTCTAAAGATAGAAACTTTAATTTAAAAAAAAATAATAATAATTTTAAAAATTTTAAAAAATTAATTATATATAGAAAATAAATAATATATAAAATAAAATAAAAAAGACAATTATAACAGTAACAAATAAATATATATTTAAAAAAAATCTATAATATAATAACAAACAAAAAGTATAATTAAGAAAAACAATAATAAAAAAAAACTATTATAGAACTTCAAAGATTAATCAAATATGTAAAAACAAAAAAAGATTATAAAGTAATAAATGAAGAAAAAAGTAAGCTAAATAAAAAATTTAAAGTACTAGACAAAAAAATAGATGCAAAGTTACTAAAAATATAAAAACAATAATCAAATATTTAAATAAAAAATATAAAAAATTAGCAAAGAATTTTTTAAAAAAAATAAAAATAAAAACAAAAATAAAAAAAACAAATAAAAAAAAATATAAATAAAAAATATAAAATAATTAAAACAAGTCAAAAAATAATAATAGCCATTCTTTTAAACAAACTATATAAAAAAATAATACTTAACAGACTAATTAAACAGACAGAAAAAAATACAAGACTAATAACAAGCCAGAGTTAGCCAAAAAAGTTATAACAAAACACTACAAGAAACAGTTTAAAAAAAGAAAACTAAATTAGAAAAAATGTTATATGCTAAAAAAAAATCTATAAACTACAAGAATTCATTAAAAAAAATAATATAGCAGAATTGAAAAAAAATTAAAAAAAATAAATAAAATAAAATAATAAGAAAGCTTAAAATAAAAATAGTTTTTGAGATATTAATAATAAGCTATACTCTAATTAAATAAGTAAGAGATAAGACACAAGAAGTATTCAAAGTCTATGCAAATTTATATCTAAATGCAAAAGAAATATCTATAAAATAAAAATAACATAAATATATTTGATATTAAAAAACATAGAATAAGAATATAGCTTAAACAATATTTAGTTAATAACACTAATTAAAATATCCAAAAAGATTATAATGGAATTTGTAACAAAAAGGTCTAGCAAAATATTTATTAAAAAAGATATACTCAAAAAACCAAATTATATAGACCTTTTAGAAAACTTTATAGAATAATTTGTATATATTTTAAATATGATAAAAAAGAAACAAAAAAAAACAAAAAGCTATAAATATTTCTACAAAATATAAAAAAGACATTTGACTTAATATTACTTAAAAGCTTTGAATTAGTTTTGTAGAGAATCAAATATTCAAGAAAACAATTAAATATATCTTAAACCTTTTTTATAAAAGACAATTTAAAATAATTACAATCTATAGTCTAACAGAAAAAATAATAGTAAAAAATAGAATAAATCAAAATAAAGTAATATTATTATTAATAAAGCATCTTTTCTATGATCTATTATTAGAAAGAATGCAGAGTAATAGGAGTTTAGCCTATGTAATAAAACAAGAGACCAAAAAGAGAATTTAATATAACAATATGATAAAATACTATTAAGCATCAATTGCATATATAATAATATAATATAGATTGCAAGCAACAAAGAACAGTTATTAAAAATCCTAAAAGTAGCAAAAGAGTTTTTTAAAATAAATAATATACAGTCATCCTTTTCTATAATCACACAAATATGGTGATTATAGAAGGATGTGATTGTATATGGGGTTCATCTGCACTATTACATAACATTTATCTAATCAGCATCATTTTTCTTAATCAACTAAAAAGTGAAAAAACCCTGTAAGTAAATATTAAACTTATCATAGTGGACTTATTATATTAAAATAATATAATAAATCTGTTACAGTAATAAATTTTAATATTCACTTAGCAGGTATTCACTTAAATATAAAAAAAAATACAATAAGTAATACTTTAATTAATCTTAGCAAACTTCAAACTTAAATAAATTCAAACTCTAACTTAATTGTAGTAAACTCTGAATATAAGAACTTTAAAAATAATAGATCCAAAATTTTAAATTTATAACTGATATAAAAGTGTTATGATCTAAAACATAGTAATTATATAGTGAACTTTTTTTAATTCCAAACTGCTAGTTCATTATAGAAAATTTAAATTATATATAATTGCACACAATTTTAAATATTTCTTATTTGTAAGAATAATTATTGAACTTGATTATAGTAACAAATCGAAATATTTATTAAACTTATTTAAAATTTAAAACTACTAATATTAACAAAAATATTTAAATAATTTTTTGCCTAATACTGTACTAAATTAAATTAATTAATAAATAAGAACATATTTAAATAGCTTAATAAAAGTTTGCTGAACTTACTTCTAAATAAAAATATATGAAAAAAAATAAGTAAGAATTATTATATATAAAAAAGCCATTATGCTCAACTAACTAAAATTAAATAATAAGAATTATTGTTTGAACTCTGAATTGACTAAATTTGTAAAGTGAATAAAAAAGTAAATAAAAAGCTATTTACACCAGTATTAAAAATCTTGTTTTTATGAGAATATACAGTAAATATAAATTAAATTAACTTATTACAATAACTGAGATGATAAGCCATTAGCATTAAATAAATATAGAGATATAAATACTGTAAAATAAGAAAAATTAATTAAATTACTAAAGATGAATAATATAAAAAACCACTTGTAATCTGAATTAGCTATTATATGACTTGTGAAATCATGAGTAAGTAAAAAGAATTGTATAAGCATTTAAATAATAAGAATGTAAATTAAATTTTAACTTACTGAAAATAAGTGACATATATAGTACATTTTGTGTATTCAAAAATTATTTTAATCAAATACATATTTTATTTAACAATTATTAAAGTCTGAGCCAACAATAAGTATAAATACTAAAAAATTAATAATCAAAGGAATCACTAAAGTATTGAACCAATATTAAAAATAATTAGGGATACTTGGCATTTAAACAAATCAATAATCAATTAGATAATAAATATTGAATTGGACAAACTTACTAAAGCAAGTGGAATGAAGAACTAACATACAAAAAAAAAAAATACAATACAGTAAAATAAATAATAAATAAATAAATAAAATAAATAAATAAAATAAATAAGAATAGAGTTAGATAATATAATATAAATGAGTTGATAAACTTACTGAGCATGAATAATATAAAAAACCATTTGCACACTGAACCAATACTTTATGAATAAAAAATAAGAATATATATAATATGTACAGTATAAACCAAGTTAGAAATACAAATTATTATCTGAACTTACTAAAAGTATATTGCATAGGTGAACTATTTCTAACTAGTATAAGATTGCTTTTGCATTTTAATAAATAATTATAAATTGAATTAGATACTGTAAACATATAGTTACTTACTAAAAATTAATAGTATAGTTGAATAAAAAATAGATACAGTAATAAAAAGAACTATTTAAGCAAAATAAATAAGTAGACAATTATGATAGAACTTATTAAAAATAGATATAAAGAATAACATGTACTATAAATAAAAAAAAATTATTAGAAATTAAGAAATGTATCAAAAAATAATTCAAAAGTGATTGTTCTGAATTTTTTTAATATCATCTTTTCAACTTGTTTCTTTAAATATAAAAAATCTATAATAGAATTTTGCTTTTTTAATTCTACATCCTTATACCTTATTATAGATAAATATTTTTAAAAAATATCTAAATTTTCTAATTTAAAATTTTGATTTGTTTGTTGCTCAAAAAACTCTAAAAATTTTTTTAGATCTACTAATTCTTCTAAAACTAAAATTGTTAAAAGCTCTTTATTTAAATCATCTAAATTATGTTCTTTATGCTGCTGTTTCACTATTACTAACTTGACAATTTCAGTATCACTTAATTCTTCACAGTAGAAATATACAAGTTATTAAGTTCAAGGTACTTGTTAACTTAGGGCAGGACTGATAAGTCCAAATCAGCAACTGACAACTTAATATTATTATTTTCTTGTTTAATAAAAGTATCATAAGAGCTTGTTGCATGTTGTATATTTTTATAATTAATAGAAGGCAAGATTTCAGTTTTTTTCTAATAATTTATTATGGTTGTTTTATTAACTTTATTTCAAGACTCTGCAATATAGTAAATTGCATCTCTAATAGTAAGTTTTTTTTCTAATTTTATTTTAATTAAATAGTAAATATATCTTAGTAATATTGTGCATTATTAAAATTTATGTCAGATCAAAATTTAAATGTTGTAAAGTTTTATTAAGATTAGGATGAAAGCTTATATTAAGATAAGGATAAATGTCAGCAAGTAGTAATGCAGTAGAATCACTATTAGTAAGATTATAATTACAGTTATATCTCCTAAGTGCACATATGCTAAGTGCATAGTATATGAAAAACCTCTTTAAGTGCATACTTTCTCTTAGTCCCAAATAATATAAAAACTATAAATTTTAATTTCTCTAAGTGCACACCTTCTCTAAATGCATGTTTTGCTTTTTTTTTTATTATAGTTTCAAAATGAGTATACTTAGAGAGATGTGATTGTATTTTAATCTGACTTAGATATTAATTTGATATACAACATTATACTTGAGTGTTTCAAATTAAAAACCTAGAACTGAATATATAATACTTATATATTTAGTTTCAGGTTTTTAATTTGTAGTACTTAATATTTCTAACTTACTTTTGTATATCTTCATTTTGTTCAAACTGTGTGAGAAGATGTTGAATATATTTTTGTTTATATTTTGATTTAAAACACTTAATAATGCCTGCATCCATTAGTTGAAGATATGCAATAGTGTTAGATAGAAGAAAATAAAGCTTAATATTAGTTAACTGAAGGCCAGTAAGATCAGGAATTGTATAAAAATGACTTCGATCACTACAAGCTTGACTCTGATTATTTTGTAAAGTAGACAATCTTATATTACTAATTCTAGATACAGATGTTTCTGCTAATTCAGTTCCTTCTTTATAACTATTATTATTAGAATTAAAAGTTAGTAAAATACTATTTGGATCATAATAACAAGTTGCATTATTAACTAAAATTAAAACATTTCTATTTTAAAGATGAAATTGATAATCTAGCATTTTTAACCATTTACCGAAAAGATCACATCATATCCATGCTCAAGAATTGGCTCTGTATATAACTGGCAAGATGTTATGATTATGCGTGTAAGCAAACAAGGTTAAATTAAGAATCTAATTACAAGTGATTTTAGTTTTTGTGTCCCAATTGCATTACATACTAGCATAATAAAAACTCTTATTTTATCCTAATAATTTAGAATAATAAAGTTATAAAAGTTAATTTCTTGACTTTCAGAATATAAAGTTTTAAAAATAACTCAAACCTGCTTTTTATTTTAAATTACAAAAATTTTTTTTTTTTAAAAAAAATACCTATTTATATATATGTATAAATACATAACATAATTTTATTTTTTTAAAAAAAACATTGTTTTTAAAAAAAATAACTAACTCAAGTAGATAAACTAATTATGTAAATTTAATAAGTTACTGTACTATATTTTTTTTTTTTGAATTCCCACTGCCTGGTCGCTAGTGGGCCGCAGTTAGTAGCTATTTTATTAGTTCAATTTTTAAGTTCACAGGACCTTCTATCAGGACCCTGCCTACATTTTACATTTTATTTAT